ATATGTGAATAGCGTAGAAGTGGAGAAATGGATACGCACTCTTTTTTATGAGAATAAAGTCGAATATTAAGGCTCAAAATTGCTAATATTTCAGAAGAATTTAAGAATAACGCCAGGCTCAACTTTCATCAAGACTAACAATTTTACGAAAATGGATGTTTCATGATCGTATTTGTATCATTAGATTTTCCTTTTAAATATCACATTTGTTGTTCTGTTTGTTCTTGTTGAAATTTACAATGAAGCAACACATCACAAAAGATTTAAAATTTTTCTTTGATCTTAAGGCGAATTTACTTACAGCTTTTATTTGCAAGAATAACTTAAGGATTAACTTAGGCTCAAAATCGAAATTTTTTAAGAGTATCGGGGCTCGGCAAAAAATTAGGTATTCATATAAAAAAGGTGTGTATATTTAAACAATATTAGAGGAATTACCTGTTATGTTGACAGGGAGTGACATGGTGATGCCCTCTGCCAAGGTGTAACAGGGGCATTTTTAGAGAAATACGAGCGTTTCTCATCTCCCTTTTTGGCTGCAAGGCCTTGCCTGAAAGGGGCCTGGTCATCAAATTTTCCCGGACCCATAAAAATTTTCGCTAGATCCGCCTCTGCCAGTATAGTTGGATTTTTATCTTTCTAAAACTAGTGGCGAAGGATTTTGGAGTGGGGGTGCAGCAACAGAAATGTACTGACGGGCTGCTAAATCTCCCAGGATTACCAGTAAGTATTAATCGCAACCTCACCTTTCCCCGGCAAGCCAAAAGAGCCCTACAACCCTACTTTGATACACCCCTGTCTACTGTGGAAGCTCTCTCTTAACTAAGAGATATCTCAGAAGTAATGTGTTCGCTCCAGTTCACTTCGCTCTGTTGTCATGTTTCTAATGTTTGCTGCGCAATTCGCTTGTAGTCAAGAACCGAGATATAGGGGGCCGGTGGGACTCGGCCCCCAACAAATTTTCAGTAGTTGCTTTATTCTTGGTAGACTTATTACAGATGACGATATAGACTTGAGGCAACTCTAACTTGTGGTTAGAAACAAAAATCTGCCTTGCTTTAAGCCAATCTGAAGGGTCGTGGGAAAAATTTTCTCCCGCGGTGTACCCCTAGACCCCCGTAAAAAGCTCCAGTTCGCTTTACTTGCCTACCAATTTGCCGCCCTAACAAAAAGATGTATCTCGGTCCTTGCTCGTAGTGTGACCTCAGATTTCTCGTAACCTTTTGTAATTCTCTCTCCGCATGGAAGCCCGCTACTACTCTCGCCAGGCCAAAGTAATCTTTGAAGATCTGGAAACATCTTTCTGTGCTACTTTCCATGATTGACTACTTAAAAGTATATTTATTAAAACAAATGCCTTTGGGCTTTTGACTATGCAAATGTGGGCTTTTGACTAAAATGAGCATGCGCAAAACGGGCCAGGGACCGGGTGCAAGGGTAGCCTGGGCTAGGTAGAGCATTTTTAATCAAGGACTTGGATATAGGGGGGCCGGGGGAGGGCCCTGGCCCTCCCAAAAAATTCAGTACCATAAGTAAAATACTTTTGTATTACTATTTAGTACTTTGAGAAATAGTTAAGATTTAAGTTCATTTTTCACTTCTATACAAGCTTGACCCTATCTAAGCAGGTCCTCCTTTAGTGTACCTGCGTCTCTGACACTTTAAACTCTGCAGGATGATTGTCAACACGTATTACTTGGCCCTGCATGAACTAGAGTTTTCTTGCTGTAATAAAAGAAATAAAAAAATATATTTATTAAATATTACACACCATAAATCTTGGCCTTTGGGTTTAAAATAAAACATATAGCTGCCACATCCAGTCTGATTATATTTAATTTCTCTTCTATCTGCTTCTTCCTTTGACAATAGTTCTCCGGCATATTCCAGCACAAAAAGACCTTTAGGGATATATTTACAACTTGCATTTATCACACCCCATCCTGCAATGAAAGAGGAGATAGTATCATCAATTAATTCCTTTGTAATTTTATATCTGAAAGATTAAGAATATTTACAACCTTGAAGAAACAACGAAAGTTTATGAACGAAAGGAATGTATTCTTTCACTCCATGTATCAAACAGTTGGGTAGGGATGTCTTACCAACATAATCACCAAGATATGTCTTGCAGAGTCCTGTAAGATATTTTCCTTGTTTAATCGTGTACTCAGCATCATTTACAACTCCCTCGCTTTTCATCTTTCTTGTTTTCCTCTGAAAAGAAAAAAATGATTATACTTTTGTGACATGATTGTGAACAGCTATAATATGACATTTTATGATTTAATTCTGAACCCCTGAATGAACACAATTGCTAAGCACAAGAGTGCAATGCTGGGAATAGAAAGCTATGAAGATCCAAAAGTTGAATAAGGTGCTATATGAATAACAGAAAAGGTAGCATCGAGAGGAACTTGAAATGTAATGCATTAGAAGTATTTTAATAGTTTTAACTACAAAAAACACACAGGTTACTTTTTTCAAAGATGAAAACAAGCCATAATCATAAGCTGAAACTTGTAACTTTCTACAAAAATGTTCTTACTATTTATTTAGCTTGATTTTACTGTCATGATAGCACAAACTTACCCTTGTGTTGACTGTATGGCTTGTTGCCATTTTACCTAAAATGAATCAATAAGCAACTTCAGCAGAAAGTGATAGTCTTGCGCAAGTTAAATACCTGGCCCTCGAGTGGTTTTAGTAATTTGCTAATCTCAAGACATTTGCTAATCAGTGCCTAAATAGACGGGGGGAGTTCTGTATGGTGATCTTGCGTTCGTCATGGCCATTGATTTATGCTTTTTCTGAAGGATCGGCTGAGGAAATTGGGGATTTGTCCGGTGCCTTTCTTGATGGGGATTGCCAGGTGGAGTCTTGGTCTTCTTGTTTTGATTTAGTGGGGCGCAGGGTCAGGGGTTTGCGTGATTGTTTGATTGTGTGGCGGCATTCCCTATCTAAAAAACTTCCTACTTCGAGGGGTAGATCATATCACTATTGCTTTCCTTTATTTTCTATTGTTCTCTTTTTATATGTAAAAACATTCAACTTGTTGAAGTTTGCATTACATGGTAGATAGGTTAAAGGGGAACTGAAGTGAAAAATGAAAATCATTTAATTAGTAGTTTTCATCGTGCTGATTTCCAATATCGACAAGAAATTAGTGTTTTTCTTTTTGTTTTCCTACATTTAATGCGCAAAGTGTGAAATTTCTCCATTTCTGTGGCGGAGAGGTCTGGAGACAAGTTTCAGGCGCTGATGTAAAGTCGTGGACACGTGCCCCGAACCTAACGAAAACAACATTGTAGTAGAGTGAATCGGAGGGAGGGAATTTGGTTAGTAGTTAAAATTTCAGATCGCAATTTTCTCGACAGCTTTTCAGGAATGACAACAGACTTAAGATCGAGCGACGATGAAGTGTTTGGAGCATGTGGTGGTGAAGTACTTGCCCTACCAAGGGTGAACAGGACCTGCAAAAGTGGCGATGAAGATTAGCCTAGGCCCGATGAGATCCCAGAGGATGAGGATGAATTATTTTCCGCGACGTGCTCGTTTTGTTGGTAGAAATGAGGGAGTAAATAAATGGTACGTCGATCCTTGTTTCTTTTCTTGCAATGAAGGCAAGAAATATTCAAACTCTATTTCCTTATAAAAAGTAAGATACAACAGAGAATGAGTAGGCTTCCTATTATAATCTTTCCATTTCTAAAATCTGAAATATTAAGGATTATTACATGTTACAATTTAATAAATATTTGCTTTGATATAAAAACGTTTATACATAGTTTGATGTGTGTGCTACAACAGGTCGACCTAATCCACTTTTGGTTTAAAAACTGGTTTGTTTTATGTACATTGACAAGTATTAATAAATCTTCCCGCAATTCAGATTTTTGGACTGATAATTCGAAAATGTCAAATATTTAATAGAATTGCATAAATATGCCTAAAATAGAATAATACCTAAAATTATATCCACTTTGCTAGGTATCTACAAACAGTGGCCAATCAATGTATGGTTTGCTGGTTTTTTGGTATTTGTGCTGGAATAACTGGACAACTTTAAGTATGCATTTATCACAAATGTAAAGAAAAAAAGTTTAGTCAAAGAAGACAAGGGTTTCAAAATTCTGCAGAGAGACAATGAAAATGCAAAAATCAGCTACCTACTACATATACAGTGGAGAACAGGGTTATATACACGGGGTTATTCAAAAGGACCAGACTTTTAGTTCATAATAGCAAGAAGAGAAATTTGTTGAAACTAGTGGGACAATGGCCAAATCTTGTCAGCCCTAGACCAAATCACTAGATTAGTCACATCAAGGGGGGGGGGGGATTGAGTAAGGCTTGATATTTTGAAGATTCCTAAGGTGTACTTTTCAACATAGTTCACTCACATCAAAATGTGTAGAATAGTTTTAATTTGATCAAGATTTTCTCTTACAATATAATGGTCCTGTACCACCTGCTTGGTAACATTTTTTATAAATAATCAGAGGAAAATGTTTTACCTTCAGGGTACAATGTTCTTTTAATGTATTCTGTCACTGCCTGTTGTTTAGATACACTGTTTTTAAATTTTGAGAATGAAGTTTTTTGTGCCCAATGGTTGTATTTTTCTGAAATTCGCTTCAACTCAACATTTAATAAACTTGGAAACATATACATCATTTAAGGGTTGTGCTTTAAATCCTCCCCCTTTATGAACGTCCTGGTATGAATTGTTTTTTATGCCTGGAGTTAAATCAGAAAATGCTTTGATATCATGTTCTGTAGACAAAGTATGAGAAATCATGTTTGAAGGGGTATTTCTGAAGTGGGGGACCACTTTTATCATTTTCTGCAAGTAAATTGTGTGGGTTTGCCAAGTTTCATGGCTGTATAGTTAACATACTAACGTATTCTGAGTACTGGGCACAAGTGCCCAGTCTAAAAATAGTACAAGGGGTAGTTCTGAGGATGGGGATCATTTTTATCTTTTTCAGCAAGTCAAATTGTGTAGATTTCCCAAGTTTCATGGCTGTATGGTTAACAGAAATATATTTACCATACTATTGTATTCTGAGTACTGGGCACAAGAACCCCAGTCCAAATAGCACAAAGGGCATTTCTGAGGGTGGGGACCATTCTTATCATTTTCAGCAAGCCAAATTGTGTCGGTTTGCCAAGTTTCGTGGCTGTATAGTTAACAGAAATAGATTGACCATACTGACGTATTTTGAGTACTGGGCACAAGTACCCCAGTCTAAAAATAGCACAAGGGGCATTTCT